TGGGGGCAATAGCCTGTGCCCAGGCTGTATCTGGCTCTTAGCAGCCCCCAGGCTGCTCCCAGCCAAGGGGGGAAAGGTCCAGGTGGCCAAGGAGCCTGTGGAAAAGAGAGGTTTAGGGCAGCTGTGTTGAGTAGCAATTAGTCACTCCTGATTTACATCCTGCTCTTTCAGCTTCCTGCTGTGAAGCTGCTCAGGCTTGAGTGGAGGAACTCCACCACCCTCTTCTTGGTGCCCTTGGGTAAGTCACCTTAGCTGAACCTCACTGTAAAGACAGCAGGGTCTTAGTGACAGCCAGAGCCAGGACAGCCGGTCCTGTCAGCTGGAGATGCCCGTGATCCCATGCTCGGGCCACCATCTTGCTGGAGACCACGGGACATCTGGGTGGTGAGTGGGAGCTGCTGGGCTTACGGTGAGCACGCGCGTAACGTGCCGTGCAGCACCCGTGGGCACGGCCGGTGGGATGGTGGAACCAAAGCCTTCCTGCTCTGATCTGGGAGCTCCCAGAGCAAGGAGGGCTCTGGGGTTTCCAAGTGTCCCTCCAGCTGCCACAGACCCAACAGTGGCTGCCCATGGTGGGCTCCGGAGGCTCCCCCAGCACGTTGGCTTCTATTGCTGTGCCCCAGGAGCAGGATGAGAGATCCCACTGTGCTGGTCTCCATCTGGTTCAGGCTTAGAAAACGGGGCCTACAGGAAACCACCCGTGAAGCCCAAGGGCTGGTGATGGTTCTCCTGCTAGGAATATATTGTTGTAGTTGCCTGGAGATAATCCTGCAAGCATTTTAATGTAGCCTGCTATTAACTTTTATAGATAGTCATTATCAATTGAGCTCTTCAGCTTGAACAAGGAATTACATGAAATTATTATACGACACAATATTATTCTGAGTCACCAGAAACCTGAGCTGTGAATCTGTGGGGTATTTTGATATCTGTATCCTGCAAGCTGCAGGGAATCTCCTTGCTAAAGAACCTGTTGGTTCAGCCTTTGATACTATAATTATCACAAGCAGAAAATAGCTGTGGGCTGTTTCTCTCTGTCCTTCCCTGTGAGGGCCCAGCTAGAGGATGGCAGATCCCACCAATGTCTTGCTTCAAATCTTGCACTGCGGTTGAGTGGGCTGGGTGTTTTGTTCAGTTAGAAGGTACTGACTCTTCACATACCCTTGCAGAAAAATTTCAGTGCTTTAGGATGAGAAAACTAAGCTGAGGGCTTTGGGAGTCAAACCAAGAGCAAGGTCTGACAGATGAACTGAAGGGAAGGGTTTGGCCCTTTGCGATGAGCCCTGGGGGTGGCTGTTGGGTCTGGTGACCCACAGGGACACTGCCCTGCACCAGAGCTGCCTACTGCCGTACAGTGGCAACCACGTCCTACAACCCCAGACACAAATGGTGTTCTTTCTTAAATATCTTTTGGAGATAGAGGCTTTTCCAGAACTTCCTGGAAAACATGATTTCCAGCCCAAATTCATTTCGGGACAGTTCATACACCCTTGTATCTGTGCCAGCACTTTTCTCTGCCATAAGTAGTATTTTCATAGTTTGCTGTTTGTAAGCTCTTTAAGGCACTTGTACAGCCTTTATCTTGCTAGGCTGAAGGAGCCAAGACCTAGTCCTGTTTGTAAGACACTCTCAATTCCCTTCTGCATCTTAGAGGCTCTTTCATCTGTCCCATTGTGAACTAATCTTTCTTGAATTGTGGTGACCTGCATATGGTGTTTCAGATGAAGTCTCATGACAGCCATGTAAGATACTTCCAGTATTGCCTCCCTGACATATTGACTTTTTTCCTCTGGCAGCCTGAAGTCATTCTGTGATTGCATCCGTAAATGTTGCCTTTTTTTAAAAATGTGGAATTAGCACTTACAGGGATCTGTGCAAGTGAGCTTAGATAGCCACTACATTAAGTACTCAGCCTCTCTGTTAAAGGTTAATTGTGAAGCTGAGGGGAGAGTCCAATGCTCTCCACAAAACCCTCCTTGTCCCTGTTTATTGCTTCAAATCTTTAATTGTTTTGGAGTGTGACATTGGATGTGGGAAGCTGTTTTCAGATAGCTCCTGTCCAGTTTATTTCAAGATGTGAAATGGGACTGGGGATCTTCCTGAGAAAAGGCCAAACAGAACCTGGGCACCACTTTTGCTCCCCACGCTTTCAAAAATGCACAGATTTGTCTGCCAGAGAAAATCAAAATGGATTCTGCCTTCTAGCAGGCAGCCCAATTCCCGTTCATCTGCACTGTAGGGAGCAGGGTCTTGGCACCAAAAGACAGTGTTTAACCTATGATAGCATTTTCAGCATTAACTGCCTGAATGTTTCTCTGGACACTGAGCCACAGTAATACTGTGAAGCACAACAATGGATGTTGGTCAGATAAAAGAACTTTGGTTTTGCTCTTTGAGATGGTGCATTTTTTTTTTTTTTTGCTGGGAGCCACTGGGAGCTCTGCAGGGCAGTAGGTGTGAGTCAGCCCTATCTGCTGAGGTAGAATTTCGGTGATCAACAACCACCAAATCCCTGAATGTTGCAGGCAGGAGTAGGTGAAATGTGTTTGTGCACAAGAGCTGGCACCTCCTTTCAGTCTGTTGTGGCCACAAGACGATAAATCACAGCCGGCTGGATTTGTAGCTAGGCTTCTGCGGGCAGTGTCCAGCACGAAGCCTGCTCGATGTAACACCACAGATGTAACAGTGCTCCACTTGCCTTTAAGACCTTCATGGTTTCCCAGGGAAAAGTAACCAGAACAAGCACCGCTTTTGCTCCTCACCTCCTGTACAGCAAACATGGAACTCATGTCTTCACTGGCAGCTTGCGGCTCCTGCGTGCCAGCGGGCAGATGAGAACTCCCACCAGGAGAATGAGCAGTATGGCACTCAACCTACAATTTTCCATGGTGAGAGCACTGACCGCTCAAAGCCTTGCAGCTACCTACTGCATCCCATAATATCTTGCTCCTTTACTGGGAAGAGATGGCTCTCTTCCAGGGATTAGGTCATTTGTGCCCATTGCAACACTTGATCTACCAATGGGATCGGAAGCGCACCAGGCATTTCGAGCATCAGGCTAATTAGCTGTTCTCGTTACTTTTCCGCTTCTGCCAGACAGTAATTCCTTTAGGGTCTTCCAATGGAGTTGCTGTTTTTCTTTCCCATTCTTTCCAGTAACTCTCTCGATGCAGGTACAATGAAGCAGATATAAGGATCAAATATTTATCCATTTAAATCTCAATCTAGAAGAGATTTAACTTCAGAGACACCCCCCCAGTGTAGTGGGGACCTTGATGTGTTTTAAAAAGAATTAAAAAGTCCCCCAAAACATAGGTGAACTTGGGTTTTCTTAAAATGTAGCTTGCTTTTCATTCCTCTTGCTTTTTGTATTTCTCTGAATACTGGCAACTTAAGCTTTCCAAGTCAATGAACGATGCTTATAAAACCTTTGGGTTCCATTCAGAACAATAACAGGAGAATCGAAGCCCGCTCTCCCGGAATCGGCTCTGCAGCCTGAAGGCCGGCGGCCGCGCAACAGCGAGAAGGGGACACTCGTGTCACCCCCCGGCTGCGGGACGCGGAGGTTACACAGCCCGGGGACCGGGGCGGGATTCGCGACTCTTTGGAGCGGAGCCGGTGCTGGGGGGCGGAACCGGCCGAGACCTCCCGGGGCGACGCGGGCGCGCAGGCGGACCGACCCGGCTCCCCCCCCGCCCCCTCCGCCGGGTCCCCCCGGCTCCCCCCCCCCCCTCCCCTCCGCCGGCTCCCCCCCCCCCGCCGGTCCCGCCGCGGGCCGCTGCTGCCCCCTGCCGGCCGCGCCGGGCCAGCGCCCCCCCCGCGGGGCCGGGGCTCCCCCCGCGGGGCCGGGGAAGGCGCAGCACCAAGTCCCCCCGGCCGCGGGCTCAGCCTTCCCGCCCGGCGCGGACCTGGGTGGGTTCAGCGCTGCTCCCTCGCCTTCCGCACCAGCACGCTTGAACTGCTTCTACCAGCGGAGCACAGCGCTTCCCTCGATCCTCCCAGAAGAAAATTCACCCAGTTGTTGCCAACTTGGGAATCTTTACAATGGCAGGAATGTCTGAAGCTGCATCTGAGCATGTAGAAAAGTCCTGTTTCATCTAAGAGAAGCTATGAAAACTCCCAAAGCGGGAAGAGCTTGAGAAACGCATTTTTTTTTTTTTTTCCCTCCACCATCTTGCATGGGCATGTGCTGCTTATTGGCAGACATAGTGCAAGTGAGAGAGATAAGAAAAGGAATGTTTACGCCCAGGCTCTCTTAACTTGCCCAAACTGCTCCAGGACACTCAAGGATGCGTCTTCATTGTTCTCCCCCTTCCAACTACCAAGGCTGCAACAAGCGTAATCTAAACAAAGATGACAAAACTTTGTGCCACAGCTGGCTTCTGTCTTGTCTCTCACCTTTTGTGAATTTCAGTATTGCCTCTGTTCAAACTTAGTAGGCAACACTGGAAATTTGTCGCAGCACAGGCGCTACCCCCTTGTACAGAAGACGGAATAAGCACAAACAGCTTCTCAGCTATGGAAATTAATAATAAAGGTCAAGCTTTCTTCCTTTTTGTACAGTGGAAGAAACAAGTCCCTGCTTCTAGCACCATTCCAGAATAGTCTTTGGCTAATATGGTGCCTGAATTTAGGAACGTGCCCTTAGCAATTCACCTCTTACATTTTAAAGTTAAACACTTTGTGCGGTTAAAGCACAATGGAAAACTAAAGAGGGATTTGGGGGTGGTGGTGGTGAATGATATATTTAGATAATAATTCAACTTTAACCTGCTTGAAAAAATAGTGCGCTTGTGATTTCGGACGCGTCATGGTCACCAGGCAGAGTGGAACGTAACAATCCCAGAGCACTTCTGTCCCTGTGCTGTGGGCAACCCATCTCCGAGTCTCTTAATTTTTGACCTTGACTTTTCAAGGATCGTTTATGATGCATGTCACTAGGACATTCAAGCACCTGTTGTGGCTTCCCACCGCAAATGCCAAGCAAACAAACTCTCTGATTTATTAATCAATTAATTAGATATATTTATGGCTACTGCAGGCCCACAGTAATTTGTTTTAACTAAGTGCTAGGCTGCAGTGAAAAACAAACTGGTACGGTGTATTAGTCTTCCTTCGAAAGAGAATCCTTTCCCTTTCTAAGCAAAGACTGTAACAATTATTTAATGGCATGGCTAACGTTTCCGCTGAAATTTGAATTTGTAAATAGCTGGACTGTTTGTTGTCTCCTTCTTCATCTTTACTTTATGAGTTTTGTCCTGGAAAAAAGAACAAGAAAAAAATATTTCCTGGCATGTAAGAACAATAAAAAAAACCCAAACAACAAAAAACCCCAAAGACACCCTCCCATAAATAAGAAAGTCCCTATTTGGGACTGACAAGGCATTAATGAAAAATGGTCACTTTCCACTGTTACGTGAGAACTATATTTCTGTCTGCTCTTTCTGCCTTTAGGTTATCAGGCACAATCTGTTTTGTTCACAAACACCAGTGAATGGTGAGACCCACTGAGACAATTTTTGGTCACTGGGATTTCTAAGATCTTCTCGTAACCTACAGAAATGGTTCTTTGCTTCTGCTATTTGAAAGTATTAATTTTAATTTAGTACTTGAGAGATGGCAACAGTATTTCAGAAAAGACTTGTGAGCACCATTTCAAAGTTGAGTCTTTTTTCTTGCTGGCATGTTTAGACTTGGACTAGCAGATATAATTTACTAGCCATGGCACAACTGGAATGCTTCATCTCCTTGCTTTTTCCACGCTAAATAGAGGATTACTTATTTTTAGGAGTTATCTGGAAGTGTCAGCATAAAATCAGAGTGAAGAAACACGTATATAAAAAACTAGAACTAATGACCTTAAAAAAAACAGTTCAAAGATCCAGAACTAAATCCCTCACCAAAAGATCTTTACGTGTCTGGATTTTCTGTGCAATAACAAACATGGCTTTTTCTCTTTCAATCCGCTGCTTCAGGAGGTCATACTGATTCTTCCTTTGCTGGGCTAATTTCTGGAGAAAAAAAAAAAAAAGAAGCTGTTTTAAGACAGAGGAATAAGAAACTATGGTCTATAACTAACATATTCTGAGGCACCTGAACCTCACAAACATTTTTTACATTTTAAAATCATAATCATATTAAAGAATGCTGCTTCAACTCTGTGGCTGCAGTCCAGAGAACCATTTTCACATCTTCATTCTCATACTACAGGTTTTCTAGTCAGGACTTAATTCTTTGTTCTTAATTTCCTAAATCCAAACATAAAAAACAAAACCTCTTCTAGTTTCGTTGCTGTATAGCCTTGTTCAGTAAGTGGCTGGAATTTATTTTTTCTAAAACCTCTGAATTTCAATGTTGAGTGCAAAAGAACATTTAACTCCCTAACGAAAACTCAGTTTATCCAGAGAAGGGAAACAAAACAAACAAACAAAAAAAGAGAGACCAATTCCTGAAGTGCTGTGAAATTGCAGAGGCCTCCCAAAATGCAACTTGTTTGGTCACGTTTATCTACTAAGAGTGGATGGCTTTCCCAGCACAAAAATGGAATTACTGCAGGTGTGATTTAAGTAATTAAATTAAGGAAAACAGATCCCAACATGCTTAAAATATGACTCAGACATTTAAAGGAGAAAACTTGTCAGTCTACAGCTTGTCCAACTGCTTTACTGACAAGCCAAACTGAGAAAGCTGGCAAGAAGAAAGGGATCACAGGGTGTTTGTTATCTGACATCTGATTCAGAAAAAAAACAGGTTACAAATTTACCAATCGGCAACTTTAGACAACTTTATTTTTACCTTACACATATCAACTGAAGCTTATAGGACTGTCTAATATATCTAAACTAATTAAGCTATATTTACAGTGTTAAAGCAGAGTGTAGCTACTTCTAGGACAGCAGTGCTATGACATTAAGACATCAGAATCAAAGCCGATTGTGTAAGCAATTCACCCTGAAGGCTCATGAAGCACTTTCAATTAGGAAAGCCAGGAAGTGATACTATAGCTTCAATGTCTTTAAGAGGAAAACGAGAGAGATAGATAAATCCTAAATCTCAAGCCACTTCAGGCTCAGAACCTAACTGACAAATACCATGAGATCAGAAACCCAACAACAGATACGTATCTATGTTGGAATAAGCATCTTCACATCCCTCTTCAGGGGTTGCAAGAAGTTTCTGGGGAGGTATAAGGGGAGACTTAACAGTGGATGTTGCAAAAAACCCCCACCCTTAAAACTGCAGCAATCTAATTAAAAGATATTCCTACAGGCGTATATCATGTAACAGATGAGAAATGTATCAATTTTGCCAAGGAAATTGCCTAAGCAGATCTGCACCATTCGTCACACCTCTTGATTTATAATCCACAGCGGACTGGAATACAACTGAACAAGTCAGGCTCCAGGCACTTGATGATTAAGTGACATCCACTATAGCCTTGTGTCACCAATTAAAACTTCAAGACAACAGAACTACCGTGTTCTCCTCCACAATGGTCCAATGAATCCTCTTTAGTGCTTATTATATACAAGATGTAAAACATTAACAAAACTATAATACAAACAGTGGCACTACAAACTACCTTTAAGTGGGCAGGATCAGTAGCTCCTTTCAGCGTCTCCTTCTGTAATGTTGCAACGGTGGGTCGGTTGTACACTCTATCTACAAGCTCTGGAACAGTATCCAGATGAGTTGCAATATCAAACTCTTGAACTATAAATAAAAAGAAATTTAGGAATAAACTCACATGGACTTCTTGGACTAATGCTCAGCAAACCTTCCAAACATGTAGCTTTAGTACAGACAGCAAGGGAAGCCCCAGCAACATAGCTCCTGCAGAACTAAGGTATTCCCTAGCAATCAAGGGAGATTTCTATAGCACCTGAATTATTATTCCTGAAGAAAAAAAAAAAAGGCCTTTTAATGATAACAATATAAAGAAAGCACCATAATGTATTAAACAGCCTACAGTAAACCACCACAGAACAGGTTTTTCTGATAAAACCTATTTAAATCTTACCTTCTTTTTTGGTATCAAAAAAGAACACGTGCTTGTTGGGATTCTTCCCCTCAGCATCCAGAAGATGGAGCTCTGACTTCAGCCGCTCGATTTTCTGCAGGAAAGAAAAGACCTGTTTTGCCAAACACCCATAACAAGGTAAATAATGTCTCCCTGAAGTAAATTCCTGTTTGCTTCTCAAGCATCTGAACTCTCCCTTCCTTTTTAATCTTTGAAAATATATCTAGTCTATATTTACGTCATGTCTTTGTAACCTTTTTGAGTAGAGGTTGATAGTAATTTCTGGTATCACCCAGCCAAACATGTGCAAATCAATTTTCAAAACAGTAAGTCATCTGTATGGCAAAGTAGGAATGATTACCATGAAACCACTAGCAAAAGTATGAAGGAAAATTCAAAGCTGACTTTAATTTTTTTATCTGAAGTGATGGTGTATGGATCAACATCAGAGCATAAAACATTTTCAGAAGTGGGTCATATTTCTGTTGGTTGCCTGCCTACAATATTCAAACTACTCACTTCAGTAAAAATAATCCTCAGTTCTTTATAAATATGAGAAGCAACAGCACATGTTTAATGTCTGAAGACATAAGAAATTACCCTGTTTTGTAATAATGCATAGTATAGTTTTTATTATTCAGTATACATTTAGGTCCTCTACAGAGCTCCACTGACATTTCCAGTATTACACAAATCAGATCTGTGTAACTAAATAATAGTTACTAAACACAAACACAATAGCCAACAGCAACAAACCACCATAAAAACAACAGTTCTGACCAAACTGGAAGACACTAAAGAAGTGAAGTATTACCTTGGCTTCCGCCACTCTTTTCATTTCCACATACTTAATGTCCTGTGTCCGCATCAATTTCACCTGCTCAGGGGTCACTTCATCCTTTGGCTGCTTTATTTTATGAACTCCATCCTAAAACCAGATGGAACACAGCACTTACAGACAGATGCCATTCCAGCTATCGTGTACTATGGGTCCTAATAATATGAGCAAAAGAACATTTTTGTCTTTTGCCTCTCATTTTCTTCAAAGCCTTCTACAAACCAAATCTGCTAATTTATTTACTAATTCATAAATTAAAACAAGGTAAATGTTTTTAAAAATTACGTTACTTAGAGCAACAGAGTGTAACCCTGCTTGAAGGCAATTTAGATTCTCACCTGGAGCTCAGCACGTATCATTTTAAAGTAGAACTCATCAGGATTTTTCTCCAGCGCTTTCTTCTGAAGTGCTCTGAGGGCATTCTGTTTCTTGTGATAGTCACTGGGGGGGGGGGAACAAAAAAAAAAAAATGAACCAACAAACAAAAATCAACAGAAAGTTGTTCAGCAGTTTCCCCATGTTTATACTCCCTGATGACATGCTGAGTCCCTCAAAGTGATGCTCAGAACTTTGAGACAGCCAACAAGGCTCCACATACAGAGCTAGACACCAACAAACAACCTCAGCTTTACAGTTTATTCCTTAACAAAGCCAGAAATGAACAGTGTCCAACAGGAAGCATTAGAGGAGCGATGGAAACACGTTTGGAGTGGAAATGGAAGTTTGAAATGGAAAAACATATTCGCCCGTTCTGCAAAGCTTGCTGAGCTGCTTGGGCCTCCCAGATCTTCCGAATCCGCCCTTAGCGATGGACGGCGGTGCTCGGGAGGTTTGTCCGAGCCGCAGCAGCTCCGTGCCCCGGTCCCCGGGGACATCCCACCGCCCGGGCGCGCCGCGCCTGTGCCCGTGGAAGCGCCTGCGATTGGCACCGGGCGCACCCGCTGGCGCAGAACCTCCCCCCCCCCCCGGGCCGGCGGGCCGCGCTGCCGAGCCCGCCGAGAGCCGCCGGTACCGGGCACGGCCGCTGCAGCCCGGGGCCGTCCCTCCCCTCCGCGGCCGCCCCACTCACTCGGCGCGGAGCCTGTAGTCCTTCTTCTTCTCCAGCAGGCCCAGCTTCTGCCGGAAGGCGGGCTAGAGGGAAAGACAGGGAACGGCATGAGCGGCCACCGGCGGGCCCGGCCCGGCCCGGCCCGGCCCGGCGCACTGACCTGTGCCCGCTCGCGGTGCGGGCGCTGCCCGGACTTGGCGGCTTTCCTGAAGGCGGCGGCCATGGCGGCGGCGCCCCCCGCCTGACTCGCGCCCCCCCGCCGCGCTGCCGGTGAGGCTCCTGCCGCCGCGCGCGGACCGGAAGGGGCGGGGACTCGGGGTCAGAGGTCGCGCGCGAGGCTCGCCGGGCGCCGGCGCCGTCGCCATGGTGACGGCGGGGACGGGCGACCCCGCGCGCTCCCGGGCCCCGGCGGCACCGAGCGGAGCGTGGTGGGGGCTGCGCCGGCCCGGCCCGGCCCGGCCCGGTCCTCCCCGGGGCGCTGCCGGCCGCCGAGCCCGCCTCGGGACACTCGGGGCGGCTCCGAGGAGGGGTCCCGCCACCGGGGCCTCCCGCGCTCCCGCCCGCCCCGTGCGGGGCTTGACCGGGCTCCGAGCCGCAGCCCCGGTGACCGGGCCGGGGGGGGCAGCCGGGCCCGTCCCGTCGCTGCGAGCCCGCGGCAGCCGGCGGTTCCGGGAGGGGGAGCCGCAGGGCAGGCGGCGGCGTGGGACGCTCGGGAGCCTAGCCGGGCTCCTGCGGGGCGGGACCGGCGGTTCCGCCGCGGCCGGCCGGCTCTCCCGGAGCCCGCCGCCCGCCCTGCGACAGCCCCGCGCCTCGCCGAGCTGAGGAGCGGGGCTCCGGGGGCGGCCGTGTGGGGGCGAAGCGGTTAGTGCCGGGCCGGGGGATCCGCCGCGCACCGCTGCTGTGCGGGGGCCGCCCCGCTCGCACCCACCGCCGGCGGCGCAGCCCCGCCCCGCCCCGGGCTCTCGGAGCCGGCGCTTGTGCGGGGCGGGCACCGGGCGGCCGAGCTCCGCCGCCCCCGCCCCGGCCCGGCCCGGCCCGCCGCCCCTAGGCCCCGCCCCGGGCCGGGCTCCGCGCCGCGGGGCTGGGGAGCAGCGCCGAGCCGAGCCTGCCCATCGCCGGAGCGAGCAGCGAGCGGGGCGCGGCCCCGGGGCGCCGACCAGGTGGGTCGGGACAGGCTGGGGCGGTGGGAGCCGCCGCCGCCCGCTACGGGCCCCGCAGCCCCGGGCGGGTCGGGGCGGCGGCGGCGGCGGGGGTGCCCCGGGGCGGGGGGGAGGCAAGGCGGCTCCGTGGCGGTGGTCCCTGGCGCTCTCCGGGGACGGGGCATCCCCGCGGGACCCGGCTGCGTGTACCGGGTCGTTGCCCGGAGAGCTCCACTCCGGTTTGTTCTAGGAAGGGCAGCTTGCACCGTTTTGTAAAAGACAAAAAAAAAAAAAAGTCTTTCGGCCGCGTCTCTCCCAGACTGTAAAGTTGAAGTGCTTAAGCTGTATTTTATTAAGAAAGCTCTGAAACTTTACCCAGCTAATAAACTCGGAAGTAAACTTAAACCAAATGCTGAAACGTAGTATAGAGAAATTTTCAACACATCCTAAATGGTTGCACTGTTTCTGTTGAATCCCAGGGTAAGTATGGGAAAAGACTACTCAAAGCCTTGCTTTTTTGTTCTGCTTTGGTTTATTTCGTTTTGTTGCTGTGTTAAACAAAGACTCAAAAGTCACACTTTGACTCTTGCTATTAAAAAAATAGTTCAGCATCTTTTTCAAAACATGGGGCGTTTTTTTACTGAACACAGGTTTTTTTCAGACATGCTTTCTTACAGGTAATGTTTTCTTTTTTGGTTTCCAGTTTTGTTGGTATTTTGTACTTGTGGTTACATTAATCACTTTGACTTTTTCATGAGAATTCGTGGAAATGTTGGATATACTTTATAGTTTGCCTGGGTGAAGTGTGTTAGTAGGAATTACTTTCCACTGACTCAAAGCTCAAATGGGTGGCATATGATGGTGGTTACTTATCTTCACAGTGCAGGCTTTGATACCAACATCTCTATACTTAGATCTGAATTTACTATGTTCACTTTTTTCCAGTTTGGGAATCATAAAGAAATCTTTCCAAAGTGGAAAACCTATTATAGGAGCACAGGGAAGGTGCCCTAGTCCATGCCGAAGGTCTGATGAATGCAGCATCCTGATGGCAGCCCAGGCCACTAGTGACCACCTAGGGAAGAGTGCGGGGAGATTGAATTTACTTTTCTGACTCCTACCAAGTGTTAGAAACCTATGGCTCTTCCAGCTGCTATGAATGTGTGATTGTCCAATATTCCTTTATGTTAATTTTTGAAAAGTGTTTTCTTTGGTATTTCCTTTGGATTTAGGTATCTGCCTTTGGCATGAGTAATATTTTTCTGGTGTTCACAAAGGTGTTGAAGCTGCCTCATTTCTCTTATTTGCGTTGTCAAAATGTGGCTTAACTTTCTGACAGGCAGGCCATCAGCAGGAAAGGGGAAGTCCAACATTTCTCCTGTCTTATTATTGTGCCATTTTCTTTCCTTTTCCTAGGATGCAGACCATACGGTTCTCTTGCTTCTCTTCCTGGCTGCTTCCTTAGAGGCACAGAGTTGTGAGCGTTAATTTAATTCTTACCCAGTTAAGTCTGTAATTTTGTATACTTTTAAGACTTGTGGCATAGAATGGGAGACAAAAATATAGGCGGTATAGTTAGTTGTGGGCACTAATTATAGTGGAAGCTCTACAGCAAAATGTATGTTTTGGAATGAGAACTCCTTAAACCTGTACACAGGGAGTGGTGGGGACACACCAAAGGCAGGGTGCTGTTTGGAAATATCCAGAATTCCCTAGCAGAAAGCCCTGTGAACAGGTCCATGGTCTCAGCTTTGGGAGCACTGCTGCCATTCCATGTTGGAGGGTTTTGAGGTTCCTCTTGGGGGAAAATCTGTGCATCAACTCTGCCTGCACAATAGCATCCGAAGAGCTGAGCAGTGACTAGTGTGCTGAAGATCAGGCTGGTTCCTTGGTCTTAGGGAGGATGGTAGGTCACTGCCGTTGCCTCTGCAGGATTTGCAGCCATCTGCATCACGTCTACTGTCAGCTCTGTTTCCTGTTTACACTGCAGTTTGTTTCAGAGCGGGCTCTGAAATAGCCATGCTGTTTGAGGACACAGCCAGCAGCTGGGTGGCTCAGCTTTCCGAGATCATCATGGGGAAGAAAGGCAGGAGCTTCTTTCCTCGCCTGTGTCATTGTGGCTGCTCTGATGACATGTTTTGGTTTTTTTTTTGTTTGTTTGTTTTTTTTGTTTGTTTGTTGGTTTGGTTTTTTGTTGTTGTTTTTTGTTTGTTTGTTGTTTGTTTTTGTTTTTTGTTTTGTTTTCCTGTAGAGTACCAGCTTTGTGTGGCTATAGGCTGTGTTCACTGGTCGATAGATTTCTGAGGGGTATGAGGTCGAGGATGTTCTTTCAGGTTTTGGACCTAGCAGCTTTAAGACAGAGGGGAACCCTTAACTGATGGAGCCAGGAAAAACTTATCTGCAGACAGGTTACTGAAATTCCCGGTGCACCAACTTTGGAAGCACTTGGCTGTGTTCACACCCAGGACTCACTTGTTCTATTGTGTGCTCTGGGATGTAAGATGCTTTCTACTGTGGTCCTAACTGCAGCTGAGCTGATGCTGTTACATGGCCTGCTGGTTTTTTGAAATGCCAGTGGGAAAATGGAATACATTGATCACTCTTAGTGCTCAAGTGATTCCTTGGAAAAGGACTTTTATGGTAATCACAGCACTGATATACAAGATTTTCATGGTGGCCCACTGGGGTCCTTGTTCATATCTGTGGGATTTTTACTGTTCTTAGCTCGCCTGAGGCCATGCTTGAAGAGCCCTGTTTGCAGCAGTAGCCTTAGGAGAGAGACGTGAATGTAAACCTTTTTGCCTCTGCCTCACCTTTTGTGTGAGAAAGTTTTCTTAGACAAGGGAGGTGTTTATGGAACACTGGGGGCTGGCTGGACTGAATAAAAGCCAAACTTCTTAACTGGACAAACAGCTTCATTGTTTCTTGTAATAGCTCAAGTAAGGAAACGGTTGCTCCTTTGGTGTTTGGTATTCAGTATCCCTGGTCAACATCCACTGTTCTTGGATTGCCCGTGCCCACCATGGAGCACCTAGATTGGTGTGGCAAGAAGGTGGTGTAAATGACATTTTCTGATTTGCCCAGCATTTGACTTGAGTGCAAGCTGCTACACCTCATTCATTAGGGGACTTGGACTATTTCTGCTGAAATAGGTGCAATTTCAATGGCCAAACTGGAAAAAATGAGAGAGAAATTGACAGTGTTTTGCCTGGTGATGTCATGAAAACAAATGTGAATGTTTTACTCTGTTTAAAAAAAAAAAAAAAAAAAAAGACAGCTATGACAGTAGATACCAGCTGCATATAAGAAAGGGAAAAGACCAATTGTTATGGGGCAGAGAAACTTTACCAGTATTATTTGATCTTCAGATTACTACCAAGAGTTTAGGGTCACTTTTAAAGGACAGGACATTCAGGTACGAGGGCTGAGAGTTTGCAAGTGGAGGGGTTCAGCTGCGCGTGCTTTGTTCTGATGGGATGGGGGTCCCACAGCCAGACTCGCCAGCTCTGCTCTCTGTGAAGCAGCGGTCAGGAAGCTGCTGCAGCATTCTCCCTTCGTTCTGCAGTCACTCACCAGAGAGGAGGTGGCATTTCCTGTGAAGGCTGATGTGTAGTTACTAGACTTTGTCCATTGAGAAGTGATGGGTCTTTAGCTACAGTTGGAAGAAAAAAAAAAAAAAAGCTCCATTCTGTGGAGATATAGTTGCTGAGAAAAGTCCTTGGTCTTTGTTCCTTCTCTTCCTTCCGTTTTGCACTGGTTTTGCCAGGTGTAAAATACAATTGCCAGCAGTTTACAGGGAGGGCGAGTGTCAGTTTTCCTGTTGAAGAAAATATCAAGGGTCTGATTGTAAAAGGAAAGGGGAAATTGAAGAATGCCGCATGGCTTCCACCTTCCTGTATTTCATCCTAGCAGAATTGCCTCTGCTGAGTGACTCACTTTGTGTCTTGATATTTGCTAAATGGAGAAGTTTTAACAAATTATTTTGCCCTTACTGAACAGGAGCCCACTGAGAGGATAATATTGATCTGGGAGGAATCAGAAAGACATGTCCATTACGGCTAAGTTAATAGTTCATCAAGTGTTATTTAGAAATATGTTAACACAGAATCCAAATAGCAATGAAATAAAAATTCTGAAATTTATGTTCTTGTTCTTCATGAAGTCTCACTTTGGCTTTATTTGGCCTGTGGTCATCTGACTGTTAACATTAACTCATGTAATTTTTTTATTTGCCCCTTAATATATTAACATAGATTGTCCTAGGCTTGCAAGTTGCAGAGTTCTTTTATGTAAAGTATTTTGAACTTCTCAAATACAAAAAAAAAAAAAAAATTCTTAAATGAGCACCATGGATAAATACTAACTCTAGACCCTTCTGATTGGTGTTATCACTGGATGAAAGTTTGTTGATGTTTATTCCAGCCTGCCCAGTGCCAGTTCTGAACAGGAATATAAATTATCTTCCAACCTGGTGGCTGATGCCAAGGACATAATCTTACCTGCCTCCTAAGTTAGTTTTGAACATCTGAGCTGTAAGCCAGAGGAATGTGCTGCATCTAACCTGGAGCTGTTTGCAGCCTCCAATGTCATAAATCCAGTGAATGAAGAAGCCAGTGCAGGTGACTGGACAGCTGGAGATGTTTTCTCTACACACAAGGGGGAAAAGGGATCTCTGAATAGCTCAAGGAAACATTCAGTGTTGTTGGAACGGCCACGGATCTGCTTCCCTAGTGCTTCCTTGAGCACATGTTGCACTTGACCCTGCCAGTACTAAACACCAATAGGAGTCAAGTCATTGTCCCCAGTGGCAGATTAAACTGCTTGGCCATTGTTGAGAGTCCAAGATTTTCCTCTCTCACCCTGTTTAAATGACTGCTTGGATGTGCAGCCAAAACAAACATGAGCTAATAAAAAATGTAGAGATAACATACAGACTAGCTGGTTTGGACTAAACAGGCATTCTGTAGCACAACGATGTGTGAGTTTTGCTTGCATCTTTTCTGCTTTAGTTTTGAAGTTCA